CTCTCTCACACAGACGGTCTCTCTCTCACACAGACGGTCTCTCTCTCACACAGGCGGTCTCTCTCTCACACAGGCGGTCTCTCTCTCACACAGACGGTCTCTCTCTCTCACACAGACGGTCTCTCTCTCACACAGACGGTCTCTCTCTCACACAGACGGTCTCTCTCTCTCTCACACAGACGGTCTCTCTCTCACATAGACCCTCTCTCTCTCACACAGACGGTCTCTCTCTCACATAGACCCTCTCTCTCTCACACAGACGGTCTCTCTCTCTCACACAGACACTCTCTCTCTCACACAGACGGTCTCTCTCTCTCACACAGACGGTCTCTCTTTCACACAGACGGTCTCTCTCTCACAGAGACCCTCTCTCTCTCTCACACAGACGGTCTCTCTCTCACATAGACCCTCTCTATCTCACACAGACGGTCTCTCTCTCTCACACAGACGGTCTCTCTCTCACACAGACGGTCTCTCTCTCACACAGACGGTCTCTCTCTCACACAGACGGTCTCTCTCTCACACAGACGGTTTCTCTCTCACAAAGACCGTCTCTCTCTCACACAGACGGTCTCTCTCTCACATAGACCCTCTCTCTCTCACACAGACGGTCTCTCTCTCTCACACAGACGGTCTCTCTCTCTCACACAGACGGTCTCTCTCTCACACAGACGGTCTCTCTCTCACACAGACGGTCTCTCTCTCTCATTCAGACGGTCTCTCTCTCTCACACAGACGGTCTCTCTCTCACACAGACGGTCTCTCTCTCACACAGACGGTCTCTCTCTCTCACACAGACGGTCTCTCTCTCACACAGACGGTCTCTCTCTCACACAGACGGTCTCTCTCTCTCACACAGACGGTCTCTCTCTCACACAGACGGTCTCTCTCTCACACAGACGGTCTCTCTCTCTCACACAGACTGTCTCTCTCTCTCACACAGACGGTCTCTCTCTCACATAGACCCTCTCTCTCTCACACAGACGGTCTCTCTCTCTCACACAGACGGTCTCTCTCTCTCACACAGACGGTCTCTCTCTCTCACACAGACGGTCTCTCTCTCACACAGACGGTCTCTCTCTCACACAGACGGTCTCTCTCTCTCCCACAGACGGTCTCTCTCTCACACAGACGGTCTCTCTCTCTCACACAGACGGTCTCTCTCTCACACAGACGGTCTCTCTCTCTCACAGACGGTCTCTCTCTCTCACACAGACGGTCTCTCTCTCACACAGACGGTCTCTCTCTCTCACACAGACGGTCTCTCTCTCTCACACAGACGGTCTCTCTCTCACACAGACGGTCTCTCTCTCTCACACAGACGGTCTCTCTCTCACATAGACCCTCTCTCTCTCACACAGACGGTCTCTCTCTCTCACACAGACGGTCTCTCTCTCTCACACAGACGGTCTCTCTCTCACATAGACCCTCTCTCTCTCACACAGACGGTCTCTCTCTCTCACACAGACGGTCTCTCTCTCTCACACAGACGGTCTTCTCTCACATAGACCCTCTCTCTCTCACACAGACGTCCTCTCTCTCTCTCTCACACAGACGGTCTCTCTCTCTCACACAGACGGTCTCTCTCTCACCAGACGGTCTCTCTCTCTCACACAGACGGTCTCTCTCTCTCACACAGCCGGTCTCTCTCTCACACAGACGGTCTCTCTCTCTCACACAGACGGTCTCTCTCTCTCACACAGACGGTCTCTCTCTCACACAGACGGTCTCTCTCTCACACAGACGGTCTCTCTCTCTCACACAGGACGGTCTCTCTCTCTCACACAGACGGTCTCTCTCTCACACAGACGGTCTCTCTCTCACACAGACGGTCTCTCTCTCACAAAGACCGTCTCTCTCTCACACAGACGGTCTCTCTCTCTCATTCAGACGGTCTCTCTCTCACATAGACCCTCTCTCTCTCACACAGACGGTCTCTCTCTCTCACACAGACGGTCTCTCTCTCTCACACAGACGGTCTCTCTCTCACATAGACCGTCTCTCTCTCACACAGACGGTCTCTCTCTCTCACACAGACGGTCTCTCTCTCACACAGACGGTCTCTCTCTCTCACCACAGACGGTCTCTCTCTCACATAGACCCTCTCTCTCTCACACAGACGGTCTCTCTCTCTCACACAGACGGTCTCTCTCTCTCACACAGACGGTCTCTCTCTCTCACACAGACGGTCTCTCTCTCACATAGACCCTCTCTCTCTCACACAGACGGTCTCTCTCTCTCACACAGACGGTCTCTCTCTCTCACACAGACGGTCTCTCTCTCACACAGACGGTCTCTCTCTCACACAGACGGTCTCTCTCTCTCACACAGACGGTCTCTCTCTCACACAGACGGTCTCTCTCTCACACAGACGGTCTCTCTCTCTCATTCAGACGGTCTCTCTCTCTCACACAGACGGTCTCTCTCTCACACAGACGGTCTCTCTCTCACACAGACGGTCTCTCTCTCTCACACAGACGGTCTCTCTCTCACACAGACGGTCTCTCTCTCACACAGACGGTCTCTCTCTCTCACACAGACGGTCTCTCTCTCACACAGACGGTCTCTCTCTCACACAGACGGTCTCTCTCTCTCACACAGACGGTCTCTCTCTCTCACACAGACGGTCTCTCTCTCACATAGACCCTCTCTCTCTCACACAGACGGTCTCTCTCTCTCACACAGACGGTCTCTCTCTCTCACACAGACGGTCTCTCTCTCTCACACAGACGGTCTCTCTCTCACACAGACGGTCTCTCTCTCACACAGACGGTCTCTCTCTCTCACACAGACGGTCTCTCTCTCACACAGACGGTCTCTCTCTCTCACACAGACGGTCTCTCTCTCACACAGACGGTCTCTCTCTCTCACAGACGGTCTCTCTCTCTCACACAGACGGTCTCTCTCTCACACAGACTGTCTCTCTCTCTCACACAGACGGTCTCTCTCTCTCACACAGACGGTCTCTCTCTCACACAGACGGTCTCTCTCTCTCACACAGACGGTCTCTCTCTCACAGAGACCCTCTCTCTCTCACACAGACGGTCTCTCTCTCACACACAGACGGTCTCTCTCTCTCACACAGACGGTCTCTCTCTCACATAGACCCTCTCTCTCTCACACAGACGGTCTCTCTCTCTCACACAGACGGTCTCTCTCTCTCACACAGACGGTCTCTCTCTCACATAGACCCTCTCTCTCTCACACAGACGGTCTCTCTCTCTCACACAGACGGTCTCTCTCTCTCACACAGACGGTCTCTCTCTCACAAAGACGGTCTCTCTCTCTCACACAGACGGTCTCTCTCTCACACAGACGCTCTCTCTCTCTCACACAGTCGGTCTCTCTCTCTCACACAGACGGTCTCTCTCTCACACAGACGGTCTCTCTCTCTCACACAGACGGTCTCTCTCTCTCACACAGACGGTCTCTCTCTCTCACACAGACGGTCTCTCTCTCACACAGACGGTCTCTCTCTCACACAGACGGTCTCTCTCTCACAAAGACCCTCTCTCTCTCACACAGACGGTCTCTCTCTCACATAGACCCTCTCTCTCTCACACAGACGGTCTCTCTCTCTCACACAGCCGGTCTCTCTCTCTCACACAGACGGTCTCTCTCTCACAAAGACCGTCTCTCTCTCACACAGACGGTCTCTCTCTCACATGGACCCTCTCTCTCTCACACAGACGGTTCTCTCTCTCTCACACAGCACGGTCTCTCTCTCACACAGACGGTCTCTCTCTCTCACACAGACGGTCTCTCTCTCACATAGACCCTCTCTCTCTCACACAGACGGTCTCTCTCTCTCACACAGACGGTCTCTCTCTCACATAGACCCTCTCTCTCTCACACAGACGGTCTCTCTCTCTCACACAGACGGTCTCTCTCTCTCACACAGACGGTCTCTCTCTCACATAGACCCTCTCTCTCTCACACAGACGGTCTCTCTCTCTCACACAGACGGTCTCTCTCTCTCACACAGACGGTCTCTCTCTCACACAGACCGTCTCTCTCTCACACAGACGGTCTCTCTCTCTCACACAGACGGTCTCTCTCTCACACAGACGGTCTCTCTCTCACAAAGACCGTCTCTCTCTCACACAGACGGTCTCTCTCTCACATAGACCCTCTCTCTCTCACACAGACGGTCTCTCTCTCTCACACAGACGGTCTCTCTCTCTCACACAGACGGTCTCTCTCTCACACAGACGGTCTCTCTCTCACATAGACCCTCTCTCTCTCACACAGACGGTCTCTCTCTCACATAGACCCTCTCTCTCTCACACAGACGGTTTCTCTCTCTCACACAGACGGTCTCTCTCTCACACAGACGGTCTCTCTCTCACACAGACGGTCTCTCTCTCACATAAACCCTCTCTCTCTCACACAGACGGTCTCTCTCTCTCACACAGACGGTCTCTCTCTCACACAGACGGTCTCTCTCTCACAAAGACCGTCTCTCTCTCACACAGACGGTCTCTCTCTCACACAGACGGTCTCTCTCTCTCACACAGACGGTCTCTGTCTCTCACACAGACGGTCTCTCTCTCACACAGACCGTCTCTCTCTCACACAGACCGTCTCTCTCTCACACAGACCGTCTCTCTCTCACAAAGACCGTCTCTCTCTCACAAAGACCGTCTCTCTCTACACAGAAGGTCTGCGGAGGGGACTCGGCACCGCCCGGAGTCTATGAGGAAAGAGCGCTGACCTCATTTCTATGGGCCTCACCGGCCGAGTCTCGGTTCTCCGCGTCCACCCCTTCCCTTCGTGGAGCCCGGAGGAAGGCGGGGCCGCCTCGGGACAAGATGGCGGCCACGCGACGCTCTGGGCCTCCCCACCACGTCTCGGTAGCCGGAAGTCCTGTGGGTCTCGCCAATCGGAAGCGGAAGTAAAGGGCAGTCGGCTGTCGGGCTCGGGCTCAGCGAGGCCGGCCGGCGAGCGGAACCGCGGGAAGGCGCGTGTCGGGCGCTCACTGGCGCCGGCGCCGTCCCCGCCCCCAGCCCCGCCCCGGCGCCGTCCCCGTGCCGCCGCGGACGGAGCGCGGTCCCCGCCTGGCCGGAAGGGCACGCGAGCTGTGTGGTGTCGCGGCGGCGCGGCAGTGACAGGTACCCGGGCTGGCGCGGGCGGTCTCGCGGACGGGAGGGGTGTGGGGCGAGGGTCCCCTCTGCCCTGTCAGCCGAGCTTCCGCCTCTCCCTCTCCCCCGACTCAGTTTCCCCTCCGTGTCCCAGCGCTGACCCTTTGCGGGTGCCCCACCGTCGCGGGCTTCTGTGCCGTCCGTCCTGCGCGCGCGGCCGCGGCCCCGAGACCCACGTGCCCGGCAGAAGCGCCCCGCGCCCGCCCGGCCGAGCGGCAGCAGCGCGCGGGCCCGAGCGGAGGGCGCCTGGTCTGCCGCCGCTGCTGGCGGGCGATGCGCGTCGGCGGCTGTCTCGGCTGGAGACTGGGTGGTCGGTCCCACTCCTAGTGCGTGAGCCGCGGGGACACCAGGCCTGTGCTAGGGCCGCAGGTGGAGGATGTGACCTGTTCTTGGTCCTTGGCCAGACTCTAGATTGCTTTGCATTTCTTGCCAGATTGGGGAACTAGCATATTTTGTGCTACACTATTTTGGCAACATCCGTCATGCACTTGCTGGCTAGTTTTAGTGCGGGGTTTGAAGGCATTTTAAAAAGCGACTTAGCAACATTACAAAATTTGGGATGATTGTAACCTTTCTTTTTAGCTTGCTTTTGATAAACTTAGCTGAAACTCATTTTTTATTAAAGGAAATGAACATTGCGTTGTGCAGTAGCATGTCACCTTTACAGTGCACATTTAACATCAGGGGAATAAATGGAACTCGAGAAAATTCTATTAGACTTCTTTTCTGCAGCTACCTGTGATCATTTTCATATCAGATGGATAGATTTATATGGTTCACAATAAATGGTTTGAAATAGGTATACACGTATATTAAGTTTAATTATTTGAGAAGTCAAGTTATTTTTAGGGAAGGGTACCTCCTAATATTTTTCCTATTAGGATATATGTTGAAACACAGATGGCCATCTCTACACTTGCAGGGTGTGAGTTGTTTAAGAGTTTATTAGCTATTATTTCAGTTTAACAATGGAAGAAGAAAAAGTTGGCAATGACTTATAATTTTATGCCTTTCTTGTTTTCCAAAAAGTGAAAAGCATTCCCATATTATAAATCTTAATGTTTCCAATATCTTACTGTAGATCCAGAGATAGTGTCTTTAATTTAAACTGAGAAAAACAGGCCACAGAGTAGATTTTACAGATGATACATTTGGACCTAGAACTTTAAAAAAATTTTTTTTCTTTATTGATTTCAGAGAGGAAGGGAGAGGGGGAGAGAGAGAAACATCAGTGATGAGAGAGAATCATTGTTCGGCTGCATGCCCCCTACTGGGGATCAAGCCCACAACCCAGGCATGTGCCCTTGACCAGAATCGAACCTGGGACCCTTCAGTCCACAGGCCAACGCTCTATCCACTGAGCCAAATCAGGTAGGGCGGACCTAGAACTTTTTCTTTTAATCCTCACCTGATATTTCTATTGATGAGAGAGAATCGAGGGGAGAGAGAGAATCAGTTGTCCCCTGAACACACCCCAAATGGGGATCGAACCTGTAACCTCTGGTGTACAGAACAGCGCTCCAGCCGACTGAGCACCGGCCAGGGTTGGGCCTAGGACTTTCTAAAGAGTTTTTTTTATTTACCCATCATGCCACATTGCAGCTGCTGACAGCTGTTGTTTCTCAGACTATTCATCTTTATAAACAACATTTAAAGACCAATAAGGTCAGAGTGATAAGGGATCTTGTAAAATGAAGGCATCCTCAAACAAAAGTCCACTTCAGTGAGGTTCTTGCCTTTGCTTCTCTAGACCAGCGGTCGCCAACCGGTGATCCGCGGACCACTGGTCCACAAGGTCCGAAAGGTTGGTGACTGCTGCTAGACAGCCGTTTCCTCTGGTATTCTGTGGAACCAAGGAAGTGGGGCCAAAGTTGGAAGGCTCTTCAATGAGTACCTTTCCTCCCTTTCTCATCTATAAGGGTGTATACGTTGCCCAAGAACTTCTGTTGCTCTTTTTTATTAAAAAAAAATTTTTTTGTCTTTGCTCTTTGTGCCACTCTTCTTTCGTTCCAGTTTCTTTCATTTAACCCTTAATAATGAAGTCTGCATTTATTTAGTTTGTTTTGATAGTTCCCCGTGTTCTGAGCAGTCAGCTGGGCATATGACAGTGATAGGCAATGCTGCCAGCTGTCGAGGGGCCCAGCCTCAGGACGGGTCTGTTAGGCTGGTTGGATGGTTTACTTTGGTCCCAACTTCAGACCCACGCCCTTGGTTTCAGTTAAAACTGCTCCTCTCTCAGCCTCCTGTGTCCCAAGACCTCTTTCCCTAGAAAATCCTTGTGCTTGCCCTTGGTCTCACAAGAAAGCACCTTGCTCAGTCTGGCTTTGCACAGTTTGAATTCTTACCCCTTATAAAACAGAGAACCAGGAGAGAGAGCATGGTAGAGAACTTGTAAAAGTTGGCAGATGTGGGTTCAAAGCATTGCTGTAGATTACTCAGCCTCTCTGAGCTTCCGTTTTCTTATTTTTAAGCCGGAATGGTAGTGCGGATGCAGCATATTCATGGCGTATCTGCTGTTTGCCAGGCGCTGTTGCTGTGGTGAACAGGGTAGACATGGCTGCTCCCACCCTCAAGGAGCTGCAGTGTTTGCAAAGCACCTGCCCTGCTCCACCCTGAGCGCTTGCTCATTAAAGGCTGATGCTTCCTCAGTTCCTGTAACGCCACTGTGCAGTGTTGTCCAGCTCCTCATCTGGAATCACCTGCCTTTGGGAGATGACACATCTGGACCCCTTCCGGAAAAGCCATACATGTGGGCATCATGTACCATTGTTCAGTAGTTCAGATGCTCTTGCCAGTTTATAAATTTAGTGACTTTGGGGAGGATTTATTTTTATTTTTTCCCTAGCCACAGAGTTTAGGTTTTCAAGGCATATTTTTGAGGCCATGTAATAATGGTGATATATTTTTCTGTAATTTAAAGATAGTTTTTAGTTTTTTTCCATGATGATGTATTTTATTAGTACAGTCTGGCATAGTACTTGGCACTTTATGCAGTGATTTTCATGTTGCCTTTTCATTTTCACAGGGACCTGGTGTGGCAGATACTGTTACTCCTATTTTAGCGACTGGGAGACTAAGGGCCAAAGAAGTTATTAGGTAACATGCTTGTGGTTAAACTGCTAGTAAGTAGCAAACTCAGGAATTGATCTAAAATGTTTTCTCTTTTCCCTGATGTTGTTTTTTTCTATGAGGCAGGCTTGTGGGGGAGGGTGTCTATTAATACCCTGAGTTGGGGTGGCCTGAAATTGTGAAAGTTGGTGTCCTCCTTTGCACTTCTGTGGGAAATGTTGGTAGCTTCTGCCAGATTCAGAAAGGGCCCTACGCTACCCTCTCTGCAACCTCCCTCCAGCAGCTCCCTCCCCCACACTGCTAGTAGGTTTCATTGTCAAAAGTCTAGTTTGGTTAGCGCTAGTCTGAAAATACTGATTGCTTAAAAATACTGATTTATAAATGGGATGTTCATATTTTTTGTTTCCAAAGAAGCTGGCAGAGCCTGAACTTAAAACCCACGTAAAAGCAACTTTTCTATTTGGTAGAATTTATTTTGCTTTTGACCTTTGCCCTTTAGCGATATTGTGTGTTATATGAACAGAATGATGTCATAAGTGATAATGCTTTTTCTAAAAGAAAGATACTAACTGGTGGCCTGCAATAGGGACTGTCTTCCCCAACAATAGACTTTATTGTTGTTTTGTTTTTTGTTAATCCTCACCCGAGGATACTTTCCCATTGATCTTTTAGAGAGAGGAAAAGACAGAGAGAGAAACATTGATGTGAGAGAAACACATCATTGGTTGCCTCCTGCTTGTAGCCTGGGCCAGGCTGGGAGGAGCCTGCAACCAAGATACATGCCCTCGACCAGAATCGAACCTGCGGACCCACCCTTTGGTCCACAGGCCGATGTTCTAGCTCTATCCACTGAGCCAAGCAGGCTAGGGCCTCCAACAATAGATTTTACCGCCAGTATTGAGGATTTGGGACCAGCCTTTCCAGATGTTAATGCTCAGAAGCACAAGTTTGGTTTAGTGTTTCCCACACTCATTCCCTTCAGGATACAGGTGGAACTTGGATGTTGACTTAGAGAGAGCTCAGACGGAAGTCTGATTAGGAATGAAAAATCAGATCAAAGAAGTCTGAAGCTGGAGACCTTTCTCTGAGGCTCTCGGTGTGCTGGCGGAGGCTGCTGCTGAGAGTCCAAGTGGCCTGCATTTTATGGCTGTGCCAATTTACCAGTGACCTCAGCTTCTTTATTTTGTGGTTGAGTTCTTACATTTCCTTGTTTCAGAACCTACCTGTGAGTTTACTTTGAGACCCATCATATTAGCTTCCTAGGGCTCCCATAACAAAATACCACAACCAGGTAGCTTAGAACAACAACAATTTATTGTCTTACAGTTTTGGAGGCTAGAAGTTATAATTGTGGAAGAAAAGGGGCCATATACTACACCTGACAAGCTCAGGGAAGGTCTGCACGGCGGCTTTACAAACTCAAGTGACCTAAAATAACCACAAAAGATAGTCTGAAATAAAAACTCTTTAGCTGAAAGCAGTTTATGGTGGGTAGTCATGTTGTGTCCGTTACTCAGCAAATATCTGTTGAACTATGTACATCAAGCATGTCAGACTTGCGGCTGACAGGCCACACACCTCACGAGTTTGACATGCTTGATGTAGATAGTAGGGCCATTATATTTAGGAAGCATTTCTATTTCTGTAATATTCATGTTATTTTATGTCTCTAAGTATTAAGATTGAGGTTTAAACAGTTCCTTGTAGCAAAACATTTTTTTTCTCTTTTAGGGATTTGCTGTAAAATGGGACTTCTGATTGTATTCACTGGACTGTGGCTGTTTTCCTTAGTAAAGGCAGATTCAAAAGCCATTACAACCTCTCTTACGACAAAATGGTTTTCTGCTCCATTGTTGTTAGAAGCCAGGTAAGAGACATTTTTCCCTTTCACATGTTTGAGCAAAGTACAGCCTCTACTAGTGAATTTTCATGAGCTTTTTAGGAAGTGAGGTTATCATCAAATGCATTTATTGAAAGCCTCTTTCCCTGTGCGCTGTGCTGTTAGAACGCAGAATCTGTCTACTCCAGGGGCGGGCAAACGTTTTGACTCGAGGGCCACGATGGGTTCTTAAACTGGACCAGAGGGCCGGAACAAAAGCATGGATGGAGTGTTTGTGTGAACTAATATAAATTCAAAGTAAACGTCATTACATAAAAGGGTACGGTTTTTTTTTTTTTTTTTTTTAGTTTTATTCATTTCAAGCGGGCCGGTAGTTTGCCCACGGCTACTTAGAGACTTCTTTAGACAAATATGTTGAGTTGGTTAGATTATTATGCTATCTTCCAGGAAGAGTGTATGTGGTAATAAGGGAAGAGAGAATCATACTTAAAGGAAATTTTCTATTTATTTATTTAAAAGGAAGAGAAGAGAGCTTGGCAAGATTGGGAAAATAATACATGCTCCTCTAAGAACTTGGGAGAAGACAAAATAAGACAGTGCAGGGGGAAGCTGAGGAAATGGCCACGCTTTATCTATTCTAAGATATGCTTGTTTGACATTTGAACATTGCCCCCAAAATCATCAGTGGCAGGGGGAGGGGACAGACTCTCTCTACACACATACAGGCTCTCTACGTCTGGCCTTATGGACAAAAGCTATTCCCAGGTATATATTAAGATTGGGACTGATGCTTTGTAGTTATCCGTGAAGTGGTATATATTTAACTGAAGTCAAACACTGGATATGTTTTGAACAGCTATAGTTACTAACAAATATTATGTAAATGAAGTGCTGTTGAAAATGAAAACATAATCATTTATTGAATGCTAGATAGTATAATGGTCAAGAATACAGCATGATGGAGATATAAATCAAGGGTATTGGAACTTACATTCCAGATTTTCCATTTACTAACTCTGTGCCTTTAAGCAATTCAGTAACCTTTCTGAATTGTAGGGTTGCTGTTAGGATTTGGAGACGTGGATAAATATGCTGAGCATAGTGTCTGTCACACAGTAGAACCACTTAAATACTCATTTCCCTTTCCTTTCTAGCTCTGTATCAAAGAGAGTCCTACTCTGATCTCCCACAATAACTTTAGAAATCGAAGAAAACAAGTTTATTACCAGACTTAGGCTGATTGGTAGACATTTGGTTTTTTCTAGTTTTTTGTTTTCTTTTGCCAAAGATTAAAATCATCTTATTAATGGCATTCCAAAAACTATTAAAATAGGAGAGAATGGTATAATGTGCCCTTCCTCTACTTTTTTTTTTCCTGTTTATTTTTTAATTTTTATTTTTGCTTAAAATATTACAAAGAGTAGTACATTTGTCCCCCCCCCCCCGCCCCCCCCATTGACCTTCCCTCAGCCTCCCCTACTGTCCAATATCTTGTGTCCATTGGTTATGCTTATATGCATGCATACAAGTCCTTTGGTTGATCTCTTACCACGCCCCCCCCCCCCCCCATCCTCCTCAGCCTTCCTGCTGTAGTTTCACAGTCTGTTTAATGCTGCTCTGCCTCTGTATCTATTTTTGTTCATCAGTTTATAATGGTCTTTATTATCCATATATGAGTGAGATCATGTGGTATTTTTCTTTCACTGACTGGCTTATTTCACTTAGCATAATGCTCTCCAGTTCCATCCATGCTGTTGCAAATGGTAAGAATTCCTTCTTTTTTACAGCAGCATAGTATTCCATCGTGTAGATGTACCACAGTTTTCTAATCCATTCATCTACTGATGGGCACTTAGGCTGTTTCCAGATCCTAGGTATGGTAACTTGTGCTGCTATGAACATAGGGATGCATATATCCTTCTGATTGGTGTTTCTGGTTTCTTGGGATATATTCCTAGCAGTGGGATCAATGGGTGAAATGGGAGTTCCATTTTTAATTTTTTGAGGAAACTCCATACTGTTTTCCACAGTGGCTGCACCAGTCTGCATTCCCATCAGCAGTGCACAAGTGTTCCTTTTTCTCTGCATCCTCTCTAGCACTTGTTGTTTTTTTGATTTGTTGATGATAGCCAGTCTGACAGGTGTGAGATGGTACCTCATTGTTGTTTTTATTTGCATCTCTCGGATGATTAGTGACTTTGAGCATGTTTTCATATGTCTCTTGGCTTTCTGAATGTCCTCTTTTGAAAAGTGTCTATTTAGGTCCTTTGCCCATTTTTTGATTGGATTGTTTATCTTCCTTTTGTTAAGTTGTATGAGTTCCCTATAAATGTTGGAGATTAAACCCTTATCGGTGATAACATTGGCAAATATGTTCTCCCATGCAGTGGGCTTTCTTGTTGTTTTGTTGATGGTTTCTTTTGCTGTGCAGAAGCTTTTTATTTTGATGTAGTCCCATTTGTTTATTTTCTCTTTAGTTTCCAATGCCCTAGGAGATGTATCGGTGAAGAAATTGCTTCAGCATATGTCTGAGATTTTGTTGCCTTTGGATTCCTCTAGTATTTTTATGGTTTCCCGTCTTACATTTAAGTCCTTTATCCATTTTGAGTTTATTTTTGTGTATGGTGTAAGTTGGTGGTCTAGTTTCCATTTTTTTTTGCATGTATCTGTCCTATTTTCCCAGCACCATTTATTGAAGAGACTGTCTTGACTCCATTGTATGTTCTTGCCTCCTTTGTCAAATATTAATTGAGTATATTGGTTTGGGTCGATTTCTGGGTTCTCTATTCTATTCCATTGATCTATATGTCTGTGCTTGTGACAGTACCAGGCAGTTTTGAGAACAGTGGCTTTGTAATACAGCTTGATATCTGGTATTGAGATCCCAGCTACTTTGTTCTTCTTTCTCAGGATCGAATTCGGGGTCTTTTTTTATTCCAGATGAATTTTTGGAGAGTTCGTTCTAGGTCTGTGAAATATGTCCTTGGTATTTTAATGGGAAGTGTGTTGAATTTATAGATTGCTTTGGGTAGTATGGACATTTTAATGATGTTGATTCTACCAATCCATGAACACGGTATGTTCTTCCATCTGTTTATGTCTTTCTCAATCTCTTTTTTCAACGTCCTGTAGTTTTCTGAGTAGAGGTCTTTTACCTCTTTAGTTAAGTTTATTCCTAGGGATCTTAATTTTTTTGGTGTGATAGTAAATGGGATTGCTTTTTTAGTCTCTCTTTCTGTAAGTTCATTTTGGTGTATAGAAATGCCATAGATTTCTTGGCATTAATTTTGTATCCTGCTATATTGCCGAATTCATTTATTAATAGTTTTTTGATGGAGTCTTTAGGGTTTTTCATGTACAATATCATGTAATCTGAGAATAAGGACAGTTTTGCTTCTTCGTTTCCAATTTGGATGCCTTTTATTTCTTCTTCTTGTCTAATCGCAATGGCTAATACTTCCAGTACTATGTCGAACAGGAGTGGAAAGAGTGGGCATCCCTGTCTTGTTCCTGTTCTTAGGGTAAATGGTTTTAGTTTTTGCCCACTGAGTATGAATGATGTTGGCTGTGGGTTTGTCATATATGGCTTTTATTATGTTGAGGTACGATCCTTCTATTCCCACTTTGCTGAGAGTTTTTATCAAAAATGGGTGTTGGATTTTGTCATGCTTTTTCTGCATCAATTGATATGACTATGTGGTTTTTATCTCTCAATTTGTTTATGTGATGTATTACATTTATTGATTTGCGGATATTGTACCATCCTTGCATCCCTGGGATAAATCCTACTTGGTCATGGTGCATGATCTTTCTGATGTACTGCTGGATCCGATTTGCTAGGATTTTGTTGAGGATTTTGGCATCTATGTTTATGAGGGATATTGGCCTGTAATTCTCTTTCATTGTGTTGTCTTTATCTGGTTTTGGTATTAGGGTGATGCTGGCTTCATAGAGTGAACTTGGAAGTGTGCCTTCCTCTTGAATTTTTTGGAATAGTCTGAGGAGGATAGGTTTTAGTTCTTCCTTGAATGTTTGGTAAAACTCCCCTGTGAAGCTGTCTGGCCCCAGGCTTTTGTTTGCTGGAAGCTTTTTGATGACTGCTTCAATTTCTTCCATAGTTATTGGCCTATTGAGATTTTTAGATTCTTCCTGATTGAGTTTTGGAAGGTTGTATTTTTCTAGGAATTTGTCCATTTCCTCCAGGTTGTCTAGATTGTTGGAGCAGAGTTGTTCATAGTATTTTTTTTTTTAACAATTATTTGTATTTCTATGGGGTCTGTTGTTATTTCTCCTCTTTCATTTCAGATTTTGTTTATTTGGGTCCTTTCTCTTTGCTTCTTGGTGAGCCTGGCTAGAGGTTCATCTATCTTGTTTATCCTTTCAAAGAACCAGCTCTTGGTTTTGTTGATCTTTTGTATTGTTTTTTTGGTCTCTATGTTGTTTATCTCCGCTCTGATCTTTATTATTTCCTTCCTTCTGCTTACACTGGGCTTTTCTTGTTGCTCTCTTTCTAACTTTTTGAGTTGTAGGGTTAGGTCATTTATTATCATTGTTTCTTGTTTTTTGCATTTGGCTTGTAGAGCTATGAACTTCCCTCTCAAGACTGCTTTTGCTGTGTCCCATAGGTTTTGGATTGTTGTGTTTTTATTGTCGTTTGTTGCCATGATGTTTTTTATTTCTTCTTTGATCTCTCTGGTAACCCAGTCATTGTTTAATAGCATGCTATTTAGTCTCCATGTGATTGATTTTTTTGGATGGTTTTTATTGTAGTTGATTTCCATTTTTATGCCATTGTGATCTGAGGAGGTGCTTGATATGATTTCTATCTTCTTGAATTTGAAGAGACTTTGCCTGTGACCCAATATATGGTCTATCTTTGAAAATGACCTGTGTGCACTTGAGAAGAATGTATATTCTGTGGCTTTGGGGTGAAATGTTCTGAAGATGTCAATTAATTCCACCTGATCTAGTCAGTCTTTTAGGATTGATGTTTCTTTGCTGATTTTTTTTAGAGGATTTGTCCATTG